TGGGGACGAGCCGGGCTGGTTTTGGGATGAGGTCGGGGGTGGGGACGAGCCGGGCTGGTTTTGGGATGAGGTCGGAGGTGAGGAGTGTTTGAGAGTGATTAGGAGTGGGCAACAAAGAATGACAAAGAAGAGATAGTTGAAAGACTCCTCTCCATGTGTACACCTTTGCTCCAATATCCTTAAACCAAAGGAAACTCTGTTTTGAAAGGTGCTGTTGACCCCCAGCTCAGCAGGATGTTATAGTGAGGGTTCTCCAGATTCCAACTCCCCTATCACATGTGGACCTGCTTCCTGACATCATCCCTGTAACTCCCGACTTGACTTTTGAGGTTCTCAACCTGCATTCGGGTCTCCCCCACTAGTGGAAGTTGGAGCACTCTGTCTATCCTTCTGAGTCTCTTCACTCTAACCTCCACTTGAGGTTTAAACCAGCAAAGTCTGAGGGAATTCTGGCCATTGCTGCCGTGTCATTCTGTGCCTCACCTAACCTTCCCCTTCCCGGTGAGAGACAGCCTGCAGTCCCAGACCATCCCTTCCCATATTCCCTCCCCACCCCCTGCCCTCACTCTCCTGTCTGACCTCATGCTGCAGGGGGATGTGGGCAGACAGGTGGCAAGTGCAGTTTAACGCTGTGAAGTGATGTATTTTGAGGAGAGCTGCTATCAAGGGTACAGTTCTGAGGGGTGGTGCAGGAGGAGTGGAACACTGGGGGTCACAGGCCAGGAGCATTTTGAAAAGAATGGAATGGTGGAATGAGGAAGCTTTATAAATTAAGGCGTGGGGTATAAAAGCAAAGAGAATGTGGAGAAATAAACAAGACATTTGGGCCTCTGCTGGAGTATTATGTCTTCAGTCTGGGCTCCAGACTTTAGGGAAAGATATCAACTTGTTGCAGAGGAGATTGCCTAGAATGGGACCAGGGATTTCAGTGAGATCTACAGCACAAATAAAGGCCCTTTGGTCCATCAAATCTGTGCTGTCAAAAACAGCCAGCTAACTGTTCTAATCCCATTTACTAGCACTTGGCCCACAGTTTTGTATGCCTTGATGTTACAAGTGTACATTTAAATATGTCTAAAATGTTGATAATTTCTTTCGGGCAATGAATTCCAGATTCCTTCCACCCACCCTCTGGGTGAAAGGGCCTTTTCTCACATCTCTAAACCTTCTGCTCCTTACCTTAAATCTATGACCCTTGACCATTGATCCCTGCACAAAGGGGGAAAAGTTTCTTCCTGTAAATGCCCTTCAATCTCCTCCGCTCCAAAGAAAGCAACTCCAGACTCAACAGAAACTCTCCAGCCTCGGAAACATCATGGTAAATCTCCTCTGTACTCTCTGCAGAGTGCTGTCACAGCCCTGCTATAATGTGGATTCCGAACTGCAGGCAATACTCTGGCTGTGGAAAGACTGGAGACGCTAATATTGTTCTCGGAGCAGAGAAGGTTGAGGGCGAGATTTCATTGAGGTGTTCAAAATGGACTCATTTTGTGGAAGTAAACAGAGAAAGTGTTTCTGGTGCCAGGAGGGTCAGTAACCAGAGAGGGACACAGATGTCAGCTAATTGGCAAAATGGGGAGGTGTGAAATGAGTGAGAGACCTGGAATGTGAAAGCAGATTTGGGAATATCTGCAGCTGGGAGTTGGAGAAGTATTTGAATAGATAATTGGTGAGCTGGTTCTGAAGAACCAATGTAGAGACACTGGTGAATTATGATCCCCCTCACTGCATCGTTCTAGAAACCTGAAGTGTGATACAGACTGGAAAATGAGAACTCAGCCCAAGTTTGATTTTCCACGATGATTTCCAAGGTTCCCTTTTGGGATGGGTTCAGATGATCAGTTTAATTTTTAAAGAAAAATATTCTCGTGTTAACCCGTGCAGCTGGAAGCTTGTTTAACTCCATCAAAAACTCTACCATCACTTTTTAAATCTTGCGTCGACCTCCCCTCCACCTTTTCTGCTTTAAGTGGAACAAGCCCAGTTCTCCAGGAAGCTGTGACTGTGTCTTCCTCAAAGGATTAGCTGAAGCGCTCATCCTCGTGTTTAATCTCTCTGAGAGCTTGACCCTCCCAATCCAATTCTAATTCCCACCTCGCCGCCCCTTCCCTCCCGCCTCGCCTCGCCTCGCTGCCCCTTCCCTCCCGCCTCGCCTCCCCTTCCCTCCCTCCCTCAGGGAACAGTTTCCTAAGATCCCATATCCTGCACCAGTTACTGCCAGTACACTCCCTGCCCACAACAGCCCCAGTATATATGTTTTTTGGAAACATTTTGACTAAATCTGTACCAACTGCTGATTTGAGATTGACAACAGCTGTAGGGGCGATGGTTTTTAGCCATTTACACACAGTCCTTCGAAAGTTAATTTTGCAGAACTTCTCCCTGAAAGTTTGTGGGTCAGTGTCAAGAAAGTTTGTTTTTTTTTAAGTTTGGTTTTTGTTCCACGGCCTTCCTGTTGAATCCAGAAGGATGTGGACGAAGCATTGCTCGGCAGGACACCCCAGGACTAGGGGAGTCATTGCCCTGCAGAGGACTTTGCTGTAAGGCACTGCCTACCAGAGTTGGTCATTAGTCCAGGTTTTGAAGGGACTGTTTCAAATCTTTCGTTGAAGCAGTTGCAGTCACGTTGTCGTGAAGCGATTGTAGGCCAAGGTTTCTTGGACATTCGAATCTTTTGGAGTGGGACTGGAGTTACGTGTAGGCCGGTCTGGGTGAGGATCAGCTGTTGCTTCCACAACAAGTGATTGTGCTGAGGTCCGCGTTACTGAAGTGAGCTTCCAATTTCAGATTTATGAGTTGAATCTACATTTTCCATCCCCCCTCCCAACAGCAGTGGTGGGGTTTGAACCTGTGTCTGCAGAGCATTAGTTTGGGCCTCTGCAGTGATGTTTCCCACTGCGCCAGTGTCTCCTGATTGGTATGGTATTAGCAGGAGGAGTCAGTCAGTAACAGTGGTTTCTCTCTCTCTCTCTCTCTTTGTCTCTCTGGGGCAGGTGAAATGGATGGTGGCTCAGGTTATCAGCGCTATGGCTCACCATGACTATCTGGAGCTGGACGGAGGTGAAGCGATGGTGGAGTTTATCATCCGACAGTGCGCCCTGCCCTGTGAGCCCGGGGTAGGATCCTCTTCCCAATTCCTGCTGGGCAGTGAGCTTGAATTTCTGTAGCACCTTTCACCAGCTCTGGGCATCCGAAAGTGTGTCACGGTTGTAATGGGGGCGGGATGCCAATGTGTGCTCAGCCAGGTTCCCCAAACCATGATAATTGAGAAACATAGAATACCTACAGCGTGGGAAAAGGCCATTCGGCCCATTGAGTCTGCAGTGACACTCCAAAGAGCATCCTACTCGAACCCAGACCCAACCCTTACCCTGTCTTTGTAACCCTGCATTTCCCACGGCCAGTCCACCTATCCTGCACATCTTTGGACAATGGGAGGAAACAGACGCAGATGCGAGGAGAATGTGCAAACTCCACACAGTTGTCTGGGTCTGGAATCGAACCCGTGTCCCTGGCGCTGTGAGGCAGCAGGGCTAACCACTGAGTGACTCATTAACTGTTCGTGGTGCTGTTGAGCTAGCCTTTTACTTTCACCCCATTCCATCGGGATCCTGCTGTGATCCCTCGCTGACAACCCACTCAGGATCCCGCTCCATCCTGTTCCCTCCCAGCCTCAGGACCCTGATGTGGCCCCTTACCCCACCCACAGCCTGCTCCCACCCTCTTCTCTCACCTCCCTTCCTCAGCCGCCAATAACCCCAAGAGCTCACTTTGCTGCTTCCTCTTCCTCGTTCCAGTCCTGGGGGTGATGGAGTGAAGTTTTTTGTTGCATTATGGGATGAATTTGGAGGGGTGGGCTGGGGGTGGTTGTGCTATTGTGGGTGTGTTTATTGATCTGAAATGTGCTCCCACTTCCTCAGACACCCAAACCTCGCAGCTACGACCCTGATGAAGTGACGGATGAGAGTTTGCGGAGTATGTGTGACAACATCCTGCACCTGTTAACCACCACTGTCAAGAAGATGGAGAATGTTAGTATCAGGCTCTCCCGCTCTCCTTTTCATCTTTAAGGGATGAGGCTGTTGTGACTTTTAGCAGCTTTCAGAGCCTCGAGCTATCGAGAGCCTGACAGTAACAGTACTTGTGCATTGTTGAGACTGTTGTAACGTTGAAAAGGCAGCTATCTGTTTGTATGCAGCAGGATCTTGGGCAATGCATGTAACTTTGGAGTTAAATGTTACTTTTCAACTGACCTCTTTGGACTTGGTCTGACACAGCTGTCGGGCAGAATGAACTTGAACCCAGACCACCTACCCCAGAGGTAGGGGGAACTGCCCACTGCACCACAAGACCCATGATGTCAGTTAAATGCTTTCAGAGACTAGAGGGAACATGCCATTCGAGTAAGCAAGTAGAGGGAATTACAGACACCCATTAGTCGATTTCGATCCTGAAATGTGCAAAATGCTTCCACGATCAAAGAACAGGAGTAGGCCATTCAGCTGCTGTGCCATTCAGTATGATCGTGGCTTATCTCGGTGCCGACTCTCCAGTGCGTCAACTCCTCGGTGCGGCGCCAGTCCCTCTGTTGGGGCGTCGTGCTGTCCCAGTGAGTAGTTCAGAGTGAACCATTTTGTTACGGGTCTGGAAGCTGGATAAAGATGGCAGATTTCCTTCATTAAAGGAAATTAATGAGGCAGATGGGTTTTTGTAACAACTGACAACAGTTACATAGTAATTACTAGAGTAGTTTTGTATTTATATTCTGCTATGGTAGGGTTTGAACCTTTGTGTGTTCCACGGGTTCTGGATCCTCTTTTGTTCGTCATTGATATAAATGATTTGAATGAGAATATAGAAGGCACAGTCAGTATGTTCGCAGATGATACCAAAATTGGTGGCATAGTAGACAGTGGAGAAGGTTTTCTAAGATTACAAAGGGATCTTGATCAAATGGGTCAATGAGCTGAAAAATGGCAGATGGAGTTCAATCTGGATAAATGCGAGCTATTGCATTTTGGTACAACAAACAAGGGCAGGGATTATACAATTCATGGTAGGGCCTTGGGTAATGTAGAATAGAGGGACCTCGGGGTGCAGATACATAATTCTTTGAAGTTTGTATCATATGTAGACAGGGTGGTTAAAAAGGCATTTGGTATGCTTGCCTTCATTGCTCAGTCTTTTGAGTATAGGAGTTGGGGCGTTGTGTTGAGATTGTACAGGACATTGGTGAGACCTCTTCTGGAATAATGTGTCCAGTTCTGGTCGCCCTGTTACAGGAAAGATAGTATTAAACTGGAGAGGGTTCTGAAGAGATTTACAAGGATGTTGCTGGGTATGGAAGGTTTGAATTATATGGAAAGGCTGGAACTTTTTTCACTGGAGCGTAGGAGGCTGAGAGGCAACCTGGTCGAAGTTTATGAAATAACGAGAGGTAAGTAGAGTTGATGTTAGTTATCTTTTCGCTAGGATTTCAAGACCGGGGATGCATTTTTTTTAAGGTGAGAGGAGAGAGATTTTTAAAAAAAATTAGGCAAATTTGTTTCACACAGAGGGTGGTTTCTGTGTGGAATGAACTTCCCAAGGAGGTGGTGAATGGTAGTACACTTACAATATTTAACAGACATTTGGATAAGTACATGAATAAGAAATGTTTGGACAGATATTGGCCAAGTGCAGGCAGGTGGGACTAGTTTAGTTTGGGAACATGGTTGGCATGGACTGGTTGGACCAAAAAGTCTGTTTCTGTGATGTATGACTCTATGCTGCAGTACCTACCTCCTGACTCAGTTTCCTAGTCTCTCACCCTTTGGTACCCTCTCACTTTATAGATACTTTAGGTACTAAATTAAACTATGCCCTTTACTAGAGCTGCTTAACGATATAAAGGAATCCCTAAGCACGAAGAGTGAACTGAGTTGAGTCCTTGCTCCACACTCACTTTTTCTCTCTCTCTCTGTGTAGGTTCTGTGGCCATTCTTGTTGGAGTTTGTCATCCCCCCGCAGTATCTCAATGCGCTGGCTCCTGTGTGTCGCAGCCTTGCATACCTGGGAATGAAGAAGCAGCAGCACAACAGCGAGGGCTTCCAGCTCAACAACGAGGAGAGAGGTTTGTGTATCAGGAATTATACCCAGGATGTATCAGGTCATCAGTTACCTGTTCTGGGAGTGTTTGGGAACTGCGTCGAGGGAGCTTTACTCTGTATCTAACCCTGTGATGTCCCTGTCGTGGGAGTATTTGAGGGCGACAGCGTAGGGAGAGCTTTACTCTTGGTTGAAACGAGTAGAGAGAGCTCAACTTTTGCTTAAGAGTTTTACTCTGTACCTAACGCCATGCTCTCCTTAACCTGGGAGTGTTTGGTGGGTGACAGTGTAGAGGAAGCTTTACTCCGTACCTAACCCTGTGCTGTCCCTGTTTGACAGAGTGTACGTTCCCCAGCTTATCCTGCCACGATGAATGTTTGCAGTTTGAAACAGCCTGTGCGTGCAGCAGTGCGTTTGTGTGGGGATGATGTGACTAACAGCAATTGACTGAACTGTGAACATGCTGTGGGTGCAGTGTGGAAAGGCATGTCTACTCTGTATTCCACATTCTTGCTCATGATGGGTCAAACAGATTGTGTCATCTTGGGGGGGAGAAAAAAAGTACCGCTCCATTAACCATTTTGTTTCTCCTTTGATTTTAGACCTGCCCAAACCTCAGGCATTGCTGACTCGGTTAATGGTGAGTTTGCCGTACTGTCTCTGAGATTTTTTTTTTTTCTTTATTCATTCATGGGATGAGGGTGTCACTGACCAGGCAGCATTTATTGCCCATCCCTACTTGCCCAGAGGACAGTTCAGAGTGAACCACATTGCTGTGGGTCTGGAGTCACATGTAGGCCAGACCAGGTAAGGATGGCAGTTTCCTTCCCTAAAGGGCATTAGTGAACCAGATGGGTTTTTCCAACAATCAATAATGGATTCATGGTCATCATTAGATTCTTAATTCCAGATATTATTGAATTCAAATTCTACTATCTGCCGTGGCGGGATTCGAACCCGGGTCCCCAGAATTTTATCCAGGTCTCTGGATTAACAGTCCAGCGATAATATCACTGGGCCATTGCTGACTGAGTAGTTGTGCGGGCTGGTGGGATTTCAGCAGTGGGTCGCTCTGATGCTGGGTGACAATGAAAGGATATTGTATTGTGTTGATGGCATCCTGACCCCAGTGTATTGAAGGGGGTTAGGGGGTGGGGGGGTGGTGTGGTGCATGGAAGATGGTTAGAGCTAGTGTCGGCCGCGAGCATCCCCCCTTTCCCTGTGTGCCCAGTATCTGTGGTGTCACCACCCCCAAAAAAAAAACCCGGATAGATTAAAGCATCTCTATGTCTCTGACTCTGCCTGCGCCCTGTTCAGTCGCACAGTTGGATGTCATTATAAATCTGCTTCTTTTCCAGGTAGTCTCGGCATTCCCATTCCGGGGGAGGGGGCGAGGGGTCTCGGCGCTGAGGTTCCTCCAGGTTGCTGTGCCCCTTGTCCACCCGCAGCTGCTGAAGGTCTGGAATGAGGAACTCCCTCCACTCATTCAGTACCTGGAAGGTACGCACTGCACCTCGTTATTAAAGGGGCTGTAGGTGTCACTGGCTGGGTCAGTGTTTATTACCCATCTCTTACCCAGAGGGCAGTTAAAATCTAACTGTGTGTCAAGGCACCAGATCCCTTACCCTAAAGGATCTTAGTGATCCACAAAAGATAACAGGGATCACATTGCTTAATCCGTTGGCCCAGCAGTTAAATCTGGATTTTATTGAATTCTGTCACGGTGGGATTCAAACCGAGAGCATTAGCCTGAGGTTCAGGATTACAGATTCAGCAACATTACCGCCTTGGGGTATGGAGGGTCTCGCCTGAGTTTCGGGGGGAGGTTAATGATCAGTCCTGTCCTTGGATGGCAGCTGCCTGTGTGACTTACAGCGAATGAGGAGGGGGCTGCAGACTCTCCCCTTCTCCCCCTTCTTCCCCCTCCCCCACCTCCCTGAGGGGGAATGAGGAGGGGGCTGAGAGAGACCCCCCCCCCCCCCCCCCCCCCCCCAGACAGCCGGCTGGCTCTGGGCAGGGCTGGACCGGGTTACATATCAGATGAGTATCCTTGCTCCAGCTCCTGCTAATGAGTGTCCTGTTTAAGATGATTTATTTTCCCTCCTGAGAGCAGTGGCTCTGGGGAACTCGGCTCCTGAGGGAGCTGTCGGGGCTGGGTTATATGATTTTTAAAGTGGGGCCAGATGGATAGTCGACCAATGTGGGAGTCAGAGGTTGTTTTGGTGGGGGAAAGCAGGAGGCAGGAAAGTAGATCTGAGGCCAGAACTAGGTCAGCCCTGATCCTAAAGGACAGGAGAACAGTCTGGAAGGGCTGAATGGCCTACTGCTGCCTTGATCATGTGGAGCATTGGCAACAGTAGTGTTGTGTGTTATAGTTTAACGGGGAAGGATTAGAGATCTGCCTGAAACAGACGGTGCAAAAACAGAAATTGATGTGAAAACTCAGCAGGGCTGTCAGAATCTGTGGAGAGAGAGAAGCAGAATTAACTCGTGCTGCCAGAGCTGCTGAGTTTTTCCAGCAATTTGTTTCTGATTTCCTGGGTGTATATTTTTTGTTTTTAATGAGATACTGGAGGGTGGGGTGTATGTACATAACAGTTACACAGCCTGCTTCCCCTGCACCCTGTCTGTCCGTCTGTCCATCTGTCCATCTGTCCTTCTCCATTAGCCGGACCCCAGCCTCTCGCTTTCCCCACCTCCTCCCCCCTCTGTCGAGGGTCCCAGTTGACACTCTGCTGTTTGCTGTTGACAGAGAATTCCGAGGACTCTCTGCCCCAGCGACATTGGGAGGATAAACTGCTGCTGGTGAGTGAGGCCTTGCTGATTCCGGGGCAGGGAATCGGGCGCTGTCGGATCGCGAATTGGTGACTGACGGACTCTCTTTCTCTGTCTCTCCCCACCGACCCCCTGAAGTTACTGTCCAAGAGCCTGGAGGCTGTCGCTCTGGGGGACAAGACGTGGAGCGGTCAGCTCAGTGAGGAGATGACCAAACACCTCAGTAACTACGGCAACCACCCCTCTGAGAAGGTGAGAACTGTAGGCAGTAATACCCCCCTCCTTTTGTGGGGGGCTATGGGCTGGGGCCCGGGCACGCCCCTCCCTTGGTGGGGTTGGGGAATGGATTATGAGATGGGGTCCAGGATGACTTTATCGCTACCGCCACCCCCAACACACGCTCCCGTTCTCAACAAAAAACAGTCAAAATGGCTGCAGGGTGGATCCCTGGGGTAATGGTTGATGGAGTGGGTAAATATATTGGATGTTTGTCTTGACATTCTGGGGCGTGTGGGGGGGAAGGTGGGAGAACGGGAGAGGAGGTGGTATTGATCAGTTACTGTTGAGGATACATCCTGGGTCCTCCCCTCCCCAAAATTTTGGAAACACTTTTGTAGTTCTTGATAGTAATGGCCTTCTTCCTGTGTCTGATCTCTCTCCCTCCTCCCACCACGTTGTCCAACGCCCCCCACGCGCTCACCATGACAGGGTTTCCTCTACAAGTGTGTCGGGGTGGTCTTGAGACAGACGACCGGCGTTAACGTAGTCGGGAAGCAGCTCGTGGAGGTCCTACATTCGGTACGACACACCGAGCCCCTGGAGAGGGAGGTAAGAGACCCCAGCAGCAGCCCATGTGATGGGGAAGGGGTTGGGGTAGAAGAGCCGGAGGGATTTGGGCACTGTCCGTGCAGAAATATGGAGTGAAACAGGGACCGGCCTGCTCATTTGAGGGTATAGGAAGTGGGAGTTATTGCTGTTGGAGAAAATGGTGCTGAGCTACCTTTTTGAACCGCTGCACTGTGGGTAGACGCACAATGCCCTTAGGGAGGGGATTCCAGGATTTTGACCCAGCGACGGTGAAGGAACGGTGATATATTTCCAAGTCAGGACGGTGAGTGGATGATGCAGGGGGTGGTGTTCGTTGTATATTTGCTGTCGCCGTCCTTCTAGATGGAAGTGGTCATGGGTTTGGAAGGCGCTGTCTGAGGATCTTTTGGTGAATTTCTGTGGTGCATCTGGAAGATGGCGGCACAGGAGGTTGGGTCCTGATATTAATACCAGGGGAGGCTGAGAGCCATGGGCCCGCCCCATGCGGTCAGATGGAGGGTGGTGATCCCAATTGCAGTGTGTGAAACGCCACATCCACTGATGCTGTGCTGTGAATTCTCCTGGGGCCCTGCTATCACCTTTACTTGGAAAGATGCTCTGAGTCTCAAATGTGGGATCTTGCAGTGTACAAATTGTTGTTTCCTGCTTTACAGCAACATCTGGTTTGGTAACATCCTCATTCTCTGTCATGTGTAACGATACCAGGTTGTAGTCTAAAAGGTTGAATTGAACGCACAAACTGTCTGAGTGATGCCCCTTCAAGTGTTTGCTGAAAATATACCTCAGGACACCTAAGAAAGGGGAAACGCTGTGAAAGCTTGTGTGTTCAGTTCAACCTGTTGGACTCTCACCTGGTGTTGTGTGACTTTTGACCTTGTTCAACCCAGTCCAACACCAGTACCTCCACATCGTGTGTAGTGATGCCCTGAGAGTGACAGGTGCTATGGAAATGTAGCTTGCTCGTTTTGTCTCCTGCAGGGTGTTGCAGTGTGTATTGGGTTCTGTGCGAAGACCCACCTGGATGTCACTCTGGCGAAGCTGGAGGACTTTGGGAAGTCTGACATCTTGAAGAAATCGCCGAGTCTGTTCCAAATTCTCAAGGCAGGTGCTCCCGGGATCTTTCTGTTTGTTGTAGTGCCAGCTCCCCCTCCACCGCGCCCCGGCCCCCCAATCATCGCCAGCAGCTTCTCTCTTCCCCCTCGCCCCCGGCCATTCTCTCGAACCTGTCTTGCAGCTTCCATTCTCTCGAACCTGTCTTCCAGCTTCCTCTCTGGTCCCTTCATGTCCTCTCGAGAGTGTGGAGACCTGAACTGGACACAGATGTCCAGCTGAGGGTGCAGCTGTGAATTTGTCAGGTTTATTGTAACTGCCTCCCTCTGTACCTCTGCAGCTGTTTGTAAAATCCACCACCCCATCTGCTTTATTAACCTCAGCCTGATCTCTGCTGTGTGACTCCCTCCCTGACTCGTGTCCGTCTCTTTCACCACCTGGAGAGCTCTGGATTTGTTTGGCCACCCTGACTGTGCATTTGGACAGAGCTCAGCTGGGGATGTACACATTTCCCCTTCAAAGGCACAAACTGTGTTTCCTGCCAGTCTTTGAGTCAAACTTTCTCCAGCCCAGTCGCACACTACTGAAGGTGACGTTTGCCCAGTTTAATATTCTTATTTGGGACTGAACTTTGACTTCCTTCAGGACCAACCTAAATCTTACGATTAGTGTTCCCATATTGGTCGTTGATCAGTTGGTACATTGCATTGGCTGTGGTGCTACCTCCTTTCTCAATGATCCAGAAACATACTGCTTTAGAAAATGTTGATGAACACACTCCAGGCATCCCCTTGGTGCTGACCCCTGCCCGGGGCCAGGGCGGAGCCCCCTCAGTGCTGACCCTCACTGGCCGTGTAGATGTGGGTTGTGATCCCAAGCCTCTGGTTTGGGCCTTTGCCCTGTTGCTGCCTCTGAGAGAATTGCTGCTTTTTGTTTTATCCCCCAGGACAAGTCTGATGTGGATGTGGAGAAAGCGAAGAGCACCCTGATCCTGTGTTACGGATACCTGACCTTGTACGCCCCTAAGGAACTGATTCTGCCTCGAATCGAGAAAGATGTCATCAAACAAGTCTTGAGCCACTTTAATACAAAGGTAGGAAGCTAGGGGACTGCAAGGTGTGTGACACCAACTCTCATCTTGTTCCTGTTACTCTGACACCACGGTTTAAGGGGGGGGTGGGGGGGTGCGGGTGATGGAGAGGTTGAGAGCAAGGACATGTTATAGGATCAAATGCAGATTCCTCTATTAACCTGTTCCCTCCCATCCACACGTGGTCAAATGTTTCATCAGTTGTTCATGCTGCAGTCGCTGGCTGGGCCCAGCATTTGTTGCCCGTCCCTAGTTGCCCCTTGAGAAGGTGGGGGTGAGCTGCCGCCTTGAACCGCTGCAGTCCACCTGCTGTGGATTGACCCACATTGCCCTGAGGGAGGGAATTCTAGAATATTGACCCAGTGACAGTGAAGGAACGGCGATATATTTCCAAATCAGGATGGTGAGGGGCTTGGAGGGGAACTTGCAGGAGCTGGTGTTCCCATGTATCTGATGCCCTTGTCCTTCCAGATGGAAGTGGTCGTAGGTTTGGAAGGTGCTGTCTGAGGATCTTTGAGTTTCTGCAGTGCGTCTTGTAGATAGTACAAACTGCTGCTACAGCCTCTAGCACAGAGAGAGACAAAAGTGCTGTCCATGTGCTGGGAGTGTTTGATGGGGACAGCGTAGTCTGATCCTCCTATAGGAGCCTGTGTTACTGAGATGTGTGCGGGGCGGGGGGGTGGTGGGGGTGTTTCTGTGATACTTTGGGAATCGCTGACTTGCTTTCACTTGTCTCACAGGTTCTGGGGATTAAAGTTGAGACGAAGGTAAACAATGTGGTTTGCTCTCCCTCGCGCTCTCTGCCTGTTTCGGTGGAGGTTCTGTCACTTGCTCCCTGCATTTCACACAGGCTTCCTAATCCAGTCTCCCTCCTGTCTTTTTCACATTTCCAGCTTGGCATCAGGGTTGGGGCTGGGTGGGGATACTCCCTGCAGTCAGCTGGACACAGATTACTGTCCGCAAACTACAGCTCAGCAGGCTGCTGCTGAACATTCTGGAAATATAAACCCAGCTTCCATTCGAGACCCGGTAGCAGGGATTGTCACCATCACAAGGCCCCCCCCCCCCCCCCCCCCGGCCCGAGGGGGTGGGATCAGGAAGGGCCCCCTCGGTGGGGACAGGGGTGTAACCGGGTGGCCTGCTCCATCAGTTTGGTCTGATCACCGCCTCGAATCCTTTGCTGGTCCCTTTCTCCAGTGAAGGACCCGTCTGTCTCCAGCTTGGGAGCTCCAGTTTTTCCCACAGCATTCCCGTTCTATTTTGCGGAGGGTTTAGTTGTCGGACAGAGCATGGGCCTGAATGATCCCAGAATGTGAGGAAGTGCCCTCGCGTTGAATCGGAAGAGGGCCTTCAGCCCCTTTGTGCCTGAAAGGTGTGCCACACTCTCCAACTCTTTCTCCAAATCCCTGATAACGATTTTTCCTTGGCCAACTCCTCACAAAGAAATATCCAAAATATTCTTCTGAACCCCTTTTCTCGGATTGTTTCTGTATCCGCTCCCCTTCGGGCAGTGTGATGTCTGTCACCTCTTGCTCCCGAGTGGTCAGTCTGTAATTCTCCTCCTTATTCCCCCCTTGACCGATGGCGATGATGGAACAGGTCCTCACCATTTCGTCCCATCAATAGCCCCTCGTTGAGATTACAGCAAACCTGTGATGTCTCTAAAGCCAACAGGCCCTTGGCTGGGGGGGGATCTCGGGATGGATTGCCTGGGGTCCAGTTCACAGAGACACCCCTTTGTGTGTTTCCAGCATCTTCTAACTTGGGGGTTTCTCAGGGCCAATGTAAGGTATGCTCTCGATGCCCCTGTGTGTGGGTCAGGGTGAAGCTGGTTCTGAGTGAGCGGAAATCCTTTATCCTCAACCTCGCGCTGCTTCCATTGTCACTAACCAGCTCTCCAGTAACACTTCCAGCAGGTGCTGAACCAGAAAGAGGCCATTCGGCCCATTGAATCTCCTGCACTATTCAATGAGATCCTGGTCAATCTGTTAATCCTGAATTTCCCTTTACCTGCCTTTTCCCCGTAACCTGTGATCCCTTCCTGATTGAAGGTTTGTCTGTTACAGCCGTGAGTATACTTCATGACCAAGCCTCAATAGCCCACAGATTTACTCCCCTCTGAGAGGAGAAATGTGTTAGTAGCGAAGCTGTGAGAATTATCGGGCAGGCTGGCTGTTTAAATTCTGACGCGGCCAGATGTGGCTCTTTTCTCAAGTGTTTCCTCAGCCAATCCTGGTCGTGAACCTCAGTATAAACTTCATTCTGTGGAGAATCTCCAGTTGTTCTCGGAGTACAGAAGTTAAGCAGCAATTTGAACAAGAGGTTCATATTCCACCCCAAGGCCTCCTACCCTCCCTCAACCTCTTCATCTCTAACTGCCATCACATTGGCAGGTTCATATTCCTGACCTGTTTTGGTAACGAAGAATTCTAGTTACACAACGATTGACCATGTCCTGTGAGCACTGAAGAGCATTTCACAAACTCCCTCAGCAGCATGGCCCTCCCCTCGGTGCTGACACCAACCCCCCCCCCCCCCCCGGACGCAGTGAGAGTTACCCCCTGACCCTGGATGCTGTATCGATGTGAGCCTGCTGATTCTGGGATATTTACCTGTTGTCGTTCTCCCTCTGTCCTCTCCTGTCACTTGTAGATCTGCCTGGGCCTCTGGTTCTGCTGCTCTGATCGTTGGGTTGTGCTAAGTGGGGTGTGTAGGGGTGTTTGTGACTTTTTTTCTTTTCCCCTCCCCTCCGTGTGTCTCAGGACCTGACCATTAAGCTGAGCCTAATGAAGAGCATCTCGCTGATTGCTCGTGCCATCTACGCCAATGAACAGAACGATTCCTACAACTTCACTCGTAAGAGAGAGCTGCTGACCTACATGCAGGTGAGTGAGGAGCATACAACACCACCTGCTGACCCATATTTGTTACAGATGGGGTATACAGTAACACCACCTTCACGCTGTGTGGGGCCAGGCTCCGCTCCAACTCGTGGTCACATCCACTGACCCAAACTGGCACTGCAGAGCCTCACAAGCTCCCCCAGCGCCCCCCGCTCCACCAGGTCCCTCATTCTCTTCCTGCCTCCTGTTTGTGGCTACGCCCCCACCCTCTCTGGGCTCCCCTCAGCCCTCTCCCAACACGCCCTCCCCTATCCTTGCTGTGGCCCCTCCTGACACCCAAGGTGGGGGTTGGGGGAGTGCAGTGCTATGTGTCGTTATAGGGCTGGGGCAGAGCTGATGGAGGGGTAATTGGGGGGGGGTTTGAAGTGTGGTTGTTGGGGCTGGGGGAGGGGGTGAACGGTGTAATGGGGGTGGAGCGAGGGTCTGGGAGAATGGACTGTGGTGCACCGACTGGGCGCTACCGGTCTCTTTCCCCACCCCCCCTTAACCTTTGCCCTGTGTATGGTTCCAAACCACCCCCCCACTTTAACCATTGCCCTGTCTCTCTCCCTCCCCACCTTTTAACCTTTGCCCTGTGTCTGTCTCCGTCCCCTCCTTAACCTTTGCCCTGTGTCTGTCTCCCTCCCCCCGCTTAACCTTTGCCCTATGTCTCTTCCCTCCCCCCTTAACCTTTGCCCTGTCTGTCTCTGATGCAGGATTTGATCAAGTTGGAGCCAATGGATGTTTTGCGAACTCCCATCCGACAGCACGCCATGATCACATGCTCCCACCTGCTGTATCCTCTCTATCCCCACGCCAAGCCACTGGGATGACTCTCTCCAGGTCGATCAGAAGTTTCCTTCTGGTTCCTCCGATCGCAGTGGATAACCTCACACTTATCCATGCTACACTCTAACATTGGCCCATACACTAAACCTATCCAGATTGACTTGTGGTTATTTTTAGTTCTGTACTTAAACTTACTGTTCCACCTAGTTTAATGTCACCTGAAATTTGGCTGTAGGTACCTTCTCTGTATGCAGTTCAGTCATTAATATAAATTGGAAGTCGCTGGGGCCCGAGGACTGAGCTCTGTAGCACCCATTTATCCCGACCCTCTGCTTTCTGTTGGCTAGCCAATTCTCAATTCAAGCTAATAAATTATCCCTAACCCAATGTGATCTTACCTTGTGTATTAACATATTGTGAGGCACCTTATCAAATGCCTTCTGGAAGTCCAGATATACTACATCTACAGGATCTCCGTTATCTACTTGTTTCATTACAGGTGGCACGGTGGCTCAGTGGTTAGCACTGCTGCCCCACAGTGCCAGGGGCCCGGGTTCGATTCCACCCTCGGGCAACTGTCCGTGTGGAGTTTGCACATTCTCCCTGTGTCTGCGTGGGTTCCCTCCCACAGTCCAAAGATGTGCAGGTTAGCTTGATTGGCCATGCTAAATTGCTGATAGTGTCCCAGGGATGTGTAGGTTAGGTTGTTTAGCCATGGGAAAATGTAGGGTTACAAGATCGGGGGTGAGTCACTGTCCTCAAAACCATGCTGACTCTGATGGATTGCATTTTGACTTGCCTTAATAATGGATTCTAACAGTTTCCCAGCATCCCATGTTAAACTAGCTGGTCAGTAATTCCCTATTTGCTGCCTCCTTCCCTTTTTGATTAGGGTGTTATACTAACATTTTTCGAATCCACTTGAACCTTTCCTGCATCCCAGTGAATTTTAGAATTTTATAACCAATGGACCCACTGTCTGTGCTGCCACTGCCCTGGGATGTAGGCCATCAGGTCCTGGGGACATGTCTGCCTTCTATCCCGATAGTTTGTTCATTGCTTTATCCCCCTAGTGATGATTGTTCCACCTTCTGTATAACCTCTGTATGACCTGTTACTGTTAGTCCTCTGCTGTGTAACCTGAGGCAAAATATTGATTTAGTGACCCTACCACTTCTGTGTTCCCCACTATTAACTCCCTACTCTCATCCTTCAATGGGCCATCATTCACTTTAGCTACACTCTTCCCTTTTATAGACTTACAGAAGCTTTTGCTATCCATCTCTATATTTTGCTCTAGTTTTCTTTCATAATTTTTATTTTGCTCACTCTTGTTACAATTTTAAAATAACCCTTGGTTATTAAATTTTCCCAATCTTCCAGCCTTTGTGATGTGGTATGGCTGAGTTTATGTCTTCATATTATCTGTAACTTCCTTACACAGTCATTGATCTTTGTTCCCCCTCTTACAATTTTCCTTCCTCTGGAATATATTTTAGTTGGGAGGGATTGAGAATCTCTGTAAATGTCTGTTGCTACGCTGGGATCCCCCCGACCCCACCTCCAGCCTCCCAATGGAGAGACTCCTTTCCCTGTTCCTATTCTCGGAGCTGCCTCTCCAGCACTCAACTCCTGCTTCTGTCTGTCACTCTGACCTCCTCCCACCTACACTGCTGTTGTTCTGCCTCCTGTTCTCCTTGACCCGATGGACAGGAAGCTGGATCCTTTGGTGGACGAGACGGACATGTTTGAGCTGATCAAGACCTGCCTGGACAGCGTGTTTGGACTGCCCCCCCTCGGTATGGACCGCTGCAAGGACGAGGCCTGTACAGACGTGAAGGAGAGAGAGGTACACCTGAAGGGTGGTTGTTGGGGGCTAGTCCCTGAGGTGAGGGCAGGCGGGTGGCTGGGGCTCTGGGGTCCTGTCCCTGAGGCGGGGGTGGGATTGGAACAGCGGGGAGTCTGGGCCGTGAGCTCAGGGGCCTTGGGAGGCCTTGGGAAGTCCGAGGGTGATGGTGAGCGCTGTTGATTTTGTTGCTTTTGTCCCCAGATCTTGTACACAGAAACTCTGAGCGCCCTGCAGGAGCTCCTCAAACAGATCCTAGTACAGGACCTCACTCCTGAAGGCCTGCAGGTCATCTTTAAGGTAAGAGAGTGGGGCTCGGAGCTGGGCCCCCAGCTTGCACAGTAAAGATTATCTCTCAATTATAGAATCAGGGTCACCGCAGAGAAATGTCTCATGCGCGCGCTCTCTCTCTTTCTCTCTCTACCCCACCTCATTCCCTCCCCACTCCACATACACTTTCCCTGCCCCCTTCCTGCAGCATGTGGAAGGTTGGATCACCTCGAGGAGGGATTGGGAGAGGGAGCGAGCCATGATTGTAACCTCCAAGCTGCTGCTGTTTTACCTGGAGAGGCTCAATGTTCGGGTAAGCCACTTGATCACCACATACCCTGTCTGTTGCTGCCGTCTTCAATGCTGATCACTGGGATCTACTATTGATCATTTTGATCCAGCTGAACTGAGACAGAGCCTGGATTGCTGTCACTGTTTGAAAAGATTCTTCATAATCTGTGCCCGACACTAATGTATATTTTTGCTGGGGACAGCGTAGAGGAAGTGTCTAACCCTGTGCTCCCTGTCTTAGGACTGTTTGATGGGGGTCACTGCAGAGGGAGCTTTACATTCAGTCTAAATTACTAGAGGGAGCATTATCCTGTTGGAGGGGAGGGGAGGTGTTGTGCTGTCTGTTGCAGTGTTGGGGACGGAGAGGGGTTGCAGCTTGATCTTGGCTGGTATCGAGTCCAGATGATGTTGAGATTTTTTTGCCTCCTCTCAAACCCTCCAATCAGACGATGGTTTCCTTCCACAATCTGGGTGCGTTGATTGGTCGCCTGGTCCCTCGGTGCACAGATCCTCTGGTGACCGTACGGCAGAATGCGCTGGAGGGTCTGTACACGCTCATCTGCATCCAACTGCGCTATGCTGGTGAGTCTCTGCTGCGCTGGGGGTGGGGAGGATGTAGGGAATGTGTAGCACTGGTGTTGTAATTGGGGCAGGACATGTGTTGCACATGTTGCAACAGGAGCAGGGTGTAAACTGCACTGGGGCTGGAGGTGTGGTTCACTGGCGCTGACCCAGTTTTTTGGGGGGGGGGGGGGGTGGAGGGGGGGGCGCGAGCTGGCGCTGTGTCAGTGTGGGGGTGGCACGGCGGAGGTGGGGGTGTGTGGGGGTGTGTGTGTGTGTGTGTGTGTGTGTGTGTGTGTGTGTGTTGGCCTGGCAGTGCACTGGGGTGGGTGGGGGGAGTGGGTGCCCACAGGAGGGCACTGTGTTGGTGATTTGAGTTACGATGCTGGTTGCTGTCTCACTGTCTCTTCCTGTGCCAGGGTTTGCACCAGATCACAGCGATGAGTGTTTGATGCGATTGAAAAGCCTGCAGAGTGGTCTGCACCAATCGGACAGCAAGCTGTTGTTCCATACCTGCTCCGAGATTGGGCAGGTGAGGTGGGGGGAGAAACACGGCCAGGTTGTGGTGGGGGAAGAGGAGAACGCGGCCAGGATGTGTGGGAGGGGAATGCGGCGAGGTTGGTGGTGGGGGTTGGGTGACGTTCTGCCTGTTCACCGTGGTGTTGTCTCTGTCTCTGTGTGTTTCTAGGTGGTAGCGAAAAGCCTGCCTCAGGACCAGCTCAGCTCACTGCTGTTCATGCTGCTGGAGGCTCTCACTGACCCTCACCCTCACTGCTCGAGTGCAGCCTCTGTTATCAGTAATACCCTCATCAGGGTCCGGGGCAGTGGCCTCTCGAACCAGGTTAGTGACCGAGATCACCACTCACCTGGTTAATGGGGACGTGCCAGGAGCTGACTTAGCACATGGTACGTGTGACGGTGCTCACCAGATTCATGGTGGAACACAGGTTTCGGCCCACCCCAGTTAGGGGCATGGGCGGGGGGGTGGGGCAGGCTTGAACCCCACCCCCAAACCCCAGTTTGGGGGTGGTGCATGGGGGGCAGACCATAAGAAATAGGTTTAGGAAGAGGCCATTCGGCCCCTCAAGCCTGCTCCACCATTCAATAGGATCATGGCTGATCCCAAATTCCTCACATCACATTCCTGCCCTTTCCCCATAACCCTTGATTCCCTGACTGGTCAAGAATCTATTGATCTCGGCCTGAAATATACATGAGGACTCTGACCCCCATCTCAACTCACTGGCAAGGAGTTCCAAAGACACCCGACCCTCAGAGAGAAGAAAGTCCTCCTCATCTCAGTCTTAAGTCAGTGCCTCTTTATTCTGATACTATGCCCTATGGGCCTAGATTCTCCGTATTTACCCTGTCAAGCCCCTTAATAATCCAATATGATTCAATGCGATCACCTCTGATGGTTCTAAACTCCAGTGAATAGAGTCCCAACCAGTTTTAACCTTTTTGCTTACAAGACAATCTCCCCACACAGGGGATCATCCTCGTGAACCTTCTCTGAACCGCCTCCAATGAAATTATACCTTTCTTTAAATGAGGGAACCAAACTGCTCTCAGTACTCCATTTTGTTGCCGTAAGACTTCCCTACTCTTATACACGAACCCCCCCTGAAATAAGGGTCAACATTCCATTAGCTTTCCTGATTCCCTGCTGCACCCTGTGGGCGAACTTTCTATGTTTCATGGACAAGTCCTGCTGTGTTGCAGCTTTCTCCATTTAAATAACAATCTGTCCTTTTGTTCTCCCTTCCAATTTGAGCAATCTCACATTTTCCCACATTATTCTTCATTTTGCCAACTATTTGCTGTCTTTAAGCAGAGCAGGGAACGGTTTCATTCCCTGGAGAGAGAATCCGAGTTAATGTTTTGAGTCAAGTGTGGGGCGGGGGTTGTTGATTTATCTGGGACCCCCCACCCCCAAGTCCAACAATTCCTTATCCAGGATGGCTTGCCCCCTTCAGTCCCAAAACTCACTGCAACCCCTTACTCTCAATTCAGGGTGTCACTGACTGACATGGGGTGACTTTGTGAGCTCTCGACAGTAGATCTGATTCTCACATTTCTTATAACTATTCCACACTTTTAAACCTCCATTCAAAGTCTGTAAAAATGACTAATAATGTTCTTTTCTTGCTAATGTTGATCTTAGTTTGTGTACCTCCTGTGCAGCTGTAACCTGTATACCTCACTGAGCGCCCTATGATCTGTATGAGATAACCAGGTGTAGAGCTGGATGAACACAGCAGGCCAGGCAGCATCAGAGGAGCAGGAAGGCTGGCGGTTCGGTCTGGACCCTTCTTCAGAAATTCAGGATTTCTGAAGAAGGGTCCAGACCCAAAACGTGAGCTTTCCTCCTGCTCTGATGCTGCCTGGCCTGCTGTGTTTATCAAGCTCTACACGTTGTTATTTCAGACTCCAGCATCAGCAGTTCCTACTATCTCCTATGATCTGTATGTCCTTGTTTGTTATAATCTGCCAGTAGGTGCCAGCAAAACAAGGCTTTTCACTGTACTTAGGTACATGTGACTGCAATAAATCAAACCAAATCAAATCATCCCTTTTAAAGCTGCCACTCTGTCTGCTTCCTGGGAGATGTGGCACATGGACAGGTCCAGAGGATGGGTTAGAATACCTCTAGTTCTTCAGGTGTTGCCATCTAAGGCCTCACTGCTGCAGTGTCAGCTTGCAGACAGCAGGTGGTAGTGTTGTACCAAGGAGGCCGGCTCCTGTACGTTGTAGAGAGAAGCTGTCAGTATCCAGTTACAATTCACTGAACCAATCCTTCACCTCTGTAACGTGCTCCCTTTGTCTTACTTTCAGTCGAAGACCAGTAAAAAGCTGATAATTCAGCGCTGACCCTCCGACAGTGCCCCCTCCCTCAGCACTGACCCTCCGACAGCGCGGCACTGACCCGCGGCGCTGACCCTCGGACATATCAATGGCTAATTATACAAGTTAATCCTCCGCTCTGACTTTCTCCCCGCACCCTTTGATCCCTGTTCCACTGATTCACTCTTTAGTCCAGTGACCCTTCTTCAGAGCTAATGTCATTGGAAACACTAACTATGATTTTTCCTTACAGATGCTGCCAGCCTCTGACTTCCAGCATCTGCAGTTCTTTGGGTTTATTTGTTCAATATTTTGACCTCGGTGCCCTGTGGCAGAGAATTCTACATGCTGCCCACTATGGTTGAAGACAACTCTCCTCCTCTCCCAGCTGCCCCATATCCTCAGCCTGTGATCCCCGGTCCTGAGCCCATTCGCTGCATGCCTGACATCGGTGTGTTGTTCCTACAGATCCCGGAGGTGCTGGAAGTGTTACACATCCAACTACAGATCATTACGCAGGAGCAGGTGAAGGCTTCCGTTCTGCAGACAGTCTCTCTCCTAGCTTCACAGAATCTCTCTGCTGTGATATCCAGTCTCCTCAGCTACCCGCTGCCCTTTGATAAGTAAGTGGCACATTCAATCTGATCAGCATGACCCATTGTGTACAGACTTTGACACACTCTGTGTACTAGGAGGTGTTACTGAGCAAACATTCACACTGAGCTACACGAGGAGATATCAGGTCAAACCTACAGCTGAACATTCAAAACAGGGGCAGGCCACTTGGCCCATCGAGCTTGCTCCATTCAGTAAGATTGTGGCTGATCTGATTACTTCACCTTCCTGCCTATCCCCAATAATCTTCCACCTCACGTATCAAAAATCTGTCTGTTTCTGCCTTAGAAATATTCCAAGGCTCTGCCTCCACCTTTTTCTGGGAGAGAGCTGCAAAGATTCAGAAAAATGCTGTTAGAGCAAAAGACCATGAGATTTCAGAGCAGGATTAGGCCATTCAGCCCATTGAATCTGCTCCACCATTCGATCATGGCTGATTGAATGGTTCTCAACCCCATTCTCCTGCTGTCTTCCCGTAACCCTTGATCCCTTTACTAATCAAGAACCTCTCTATCTCTGTCTGAAATACACTCCGTGACTTGACCTCCACAGCCCTCTGAGGCAATGATTTCCACAGATTCACCACCCTCTGGACGAAGAGATTTTTCTTCATCTCAGTTCTAAAGGGTCATTCCTTCATCCTGAGGCTGTAACCTCGGTCCCAGTCTGTCCCGCTGGTGGAAACATCATCTCCACATCCAATCTATCTGGGTACCTCAATATTCTGGGAGCTTCTTCACATCTGTTTTAAACAAGTGGCTGATTTTTAATCCGTGACTCCAACTTGCAGATTTTTCTGAATGTGAAGAGAATGCTGTTTCAAAGACCTGGTCAGGACCTCTCAGGATCTTGTATGTTTCAATAGAGTCACCTCTTATCTTTAAGAGAAGATGCCCATTCGATTGGAAGTGGTTTTGAGAAGGTTCATTGACCTGCTTCCTGGAGTGACAGTGCTCCTTCTGGTGGAATATTTGAGCCTGGGGTCTGTATCTGTTGTAGTTCAGGGGAATGAGCGATGATCTTATTGAAACATGGAAGACCCTGAAGAGGACTGGACAGGATGGATGTTGGAGGGCAGTTTCCTGTTGTGGGAGAGACCAAAACCAGGGGGTCCCGGATGTCCCATTTAACACCAAGGTGCGGGTTATTTTTGTTTTATCTGAGGATTGAGAGACTGTGGAGTGGTCTCTCCCAGAGAGACATTTCAAAGGCAGAAGCAGATAAACTTACCACTGACGAGGGAATTAAAAATATTTCACTGGGGCAAACGGGGAAGTGGAGTTGAGGGAATAATCCAGTCAGGCACAATCTTATCGTGGTATAGGCTCAAGAGGTCATAAAGGCCTATTAGTATGCCTAAAAGCGTGGTCAAAGGCAGAACGTAAGAAAAAGGAGCAGGAGTAGGCCATTTGGCTTATCAAGCCTGCTACGTCATTCAATAAGATCTTTTCATGGACTCAGCTCCACTTACCCGCCCGCTCACCATAGCCTTTAACTCTACTGTTCAAAAATCTGTCTATGTCTATCTTAAAAACATTCAATGAGGGAGCCTCAACTGCTTCGCTGGGCAGGAAATTCCACAGATTCACAACCCTTTGGGTGAACCAGTTCCTCCTCAATGCAGCCTGAAATCCGCTCCCTCTTATTTTGAGGCTATGCCCCCTTGTTCTAGTTTCACCCCCCAGTGGAAACAACCTCACTGCTTCTATCTTATCTATTCCCTTCATAATTTTACATGTTTCCTTGAGATCCCCCCTCATTCTTCTAAATACCAGCGAGTACAGTCCCAGTCTACTCCATCTCTCCTCATAAGCCAATCCTGTCAACTCCGACTCAACCTAGTTAACCTCCTCCGCAAACCCCCTCTGGTGCCAGTACATCCTTTCTCGGGTAAAGAGATCAAAACTGTACAGTACTCCAGGTGTGGCCTCACCAGGATCCTATACAGCTGTAGCATAACCTCTCTGTTTTTAAACTCCATCCCGCTAGCAATGAAGGACAATCTTCCATTTGCCTTCTTAATTACCTGCTGCACCAGCTAACCAACCTTCTGTGATTCATGCACAAGGACACCCAGGTCCCTCTGCACCACAGCACACTGCAATAACCAGTCTCTTTCACGGAGGATAGTAAGCTGCAGAAAGTTTTATGGAGGGAGTTCCAGAGCTTGGGGCCCAGGCAGCTGAAGACAGACTCTAAAAATGGAGTGATTTAAAGATGGAAACTCTGAATTAGAGGAGCATAGATATTTTCGAGGGAGGAGGAGTTGGGGTATAAGGGCAGGTGTGATCACAGAGGGATTTGAAAGTAAGGATGAGAATATAAAAGTCACAATCTTGTTTGGGAGCCACTGTAGATGACACAGGAAGTTGGAGACAGTGAGTTAGGATTAGCCTGTAACCCAGTGCCTGACCCTACACACAGGGACAGTCAGCAGGGTGCAGGTTCAGGTCAGGGGGTGGAGGGGCGAGAGCATAGACTGTCATATTGAGATTAATGGAGAGTTCTCCCCTCCCCCAGGCCCGCGGGGGAGATGTGGCAGTCACTGGCAGGAGACGTGACCTTGGCAAGGAGATCTCTGGAATTCCTGACCGAGCGATTGAACAAACAGTTACCGTATGATGAGAAAAGGGAGTCGATGCTGCGCAAGAGCGTCACGAGGTTCGCTACTGTCCAGCCACTGGTGGTATGTTGGAGCACTGAGCCTGCACTCAACCAATTCCCTCCCCCCAGCTCGACCAATCCCCTCACTCCCCGTCTGGCCCCAGCCCCACCCACTCGACCAATCACCTCCTTCCCGGTTGGCTCCTCCCCCAGCTCGACCAATCCCTTCCCTCCCTGTGCCCCACGCTCAACCAATCCCCTCACTCCCCGTCTGCCCCCCACCTGCTTGACCAATCACCTTCCTCCTTGTGCTCCCCCCCGCCCCCGTTCGACCAATCGCCTCGCTCCCTGTGATGCCCCCGCTCAACCAATCCCCTCCCTGTGTGCCACCCACCTGCTCAACCAATCACCTCCCTCCCAGTGCCCCCCCACTTGACCAATCCCCTCACTCACCGTCTGCCACCCACCTGCTCGACCAATCCCCTCACTACCTGTGACCCCCTCTCGACCAATCACCTCATTCCATTTCTGCCGCGTGCCCCGCCCAACCACTTGACCAAGCCCCCCTCTCTCTGTGTTCCCTGCTCAACCGATCCCCTCTCACCCCGTCCGCCACACTCCCACCCGTTCGACCAATCACCTCTGTCTCCATACCCCCACCCAACCCCCGATACTTTCATCCTTTGGCCCCTCAGTCTTCGATCCCCACGCGCGCGCACACACCCCCCCACCTTGTGCTCCTGAGCCGCTCGCCTTCCCCTCCCTGGTTGAAGGTGCCCTCTCAGTCTCGCCCTGTCTCTCTCTCTGACCGCTTTCTCCTCCCCCTAGGTGACCTGTGCTCTGACTAAGCTGCTGTCTACAATGGATAGTGCCGAGGCTGTCAGTATCCTGTACCCTTCCCTCTTCAGCTCGCTGCTCGGCCGGGTGGGCTGCACAGTAGGGGTGCGGCTCCCTAAAGACCCAGTGAAGGAGCGTCAGAACCGTCTGCCCAAGGACCTTGATGTCTGCAGGTAATGCCCACAACTCAGTCTGTCCTGGTCAGCACCATGCCCCTGCCCCCCCCCCACCACAAACACATCACGTCCCACTTCTACCTGTCCATGTCTGAGCTGTGTGTACCTTCAGGCACTGCCCTGAGTCTGTTTGAGTTTGGCGTTTGGAGTAAGATACGAACAGTGAACCATGAAAATACAATCCACCGTTTCCTCAACTCCCTGAGAACTCAGTGTGACAAGATGTTAAATACAAGGAACCACCCCATGGCTGTAACTGAGTGTAATCACTGGAAACATCGAAATTATGCAGTTATGATTCTGGGTGAAGACCAGGGTTTTGTGGTGTTGTATCTGGGTTAGTGACCTAGAAACTAATGGCCTGGAGGCTCTAGTTTAAATCCCAGTTTGGGAGCTGGTGAAAGCTACATTTAATTTGTGAACTGGGAATAAGAAGCTGGTCTGGGCAATGGTGACGAGGAAACTAGCATCAATTGTAAATAACTGTACAGTTCTCCAGTGTTCTTCACAGAGAAAAATCTGGTGTCCTTGCTCAGTTAGGCCTACATGTCACCCACAGCAATGTGGCTGTCTCTTAACTGCCCTCTGGGCAATTAGGGATGGGCAGTAAATGCTGGCCTGGCCAGCTACCCCCCACGTCCAGTGAATGAGTCAGAAGAAAATGGATCAGTTCTGACGAAGGGTCACTAGACTCTGTGTGTTAACTGTTTCTCTCTCTGCAGCTGCTACCCAGACCCACTGAGTTTCTCCAGCACTTTGTTTTTAATTCTGAGCTCTAGCATCCACAGGGTTTTGTTTTTATTATAAGGAGCTGAAGAGTGTTGGTTAAATGTGAAAGCTATCAGACTGCAATGTGTACTGGTTGTTTTATGTTGCCTTTCAGTTTGCCATTTAACAGTTGCATACAATATGATGCCAACACAAGCATACCTTCACTGGAAAGGGCATTCCCCCCCCCCCACTCCTCCTCAGTTTTAATATCTCAACGATATACACTCAGGCGATGAGGACTAGGAGTTCTCCTTTCGAACACAGAACGAACAGTGTGTTTTGTGTTTGGTTGTAGGCACTGCATTTCAGAAAAGATGTACAGTTCTTCGAGAGGGTACAGGAAATGGGATCAGGGATCGGCGGACAGACTGGACTCCTCCTCAGAACAAAGGATGTTAAAAGGGGATTCATTAGAGATGTCCAGACATCACACAGCTCTTACAGCCCATTTTGTGCTACCGCCATATCCCTTGGTGTCATTAGTCCCCAGAAATCTATTAATTTTGGTCTTCAGCATGCTTCCTCAGCTTCCCCGGGCCTCTGGTGGGGTGGGGGCAGTGGGGCCTGTGGCGGGCCTAGTCCTGTGTGTGGAGAGGTTCTGTAAGGCCGTGTACAGACAGAGACAGATGGCTGATTCTCTTCCAGCTGCTCAGTGGAGGCTCTGAAGCTGCTGACAGTTCGAGGGAAGGACGAGGAGTTGCTGAAGATAATGGAGCAGGAAAAGGGCTGGGATTTGATGAGGAGCCCTGACTCTCATCACCGAGGAGTGGCAGTGCTGGCCAGGTATGTTCGAACCCCCTGGGAATGAGACTTGAATAGCAATTCTCTAAGTACCCAAATCGTTAGGGAGGGGGGTTCCAGGTTTTTGACCCAGTAACAATGAAGGGACAGTGATTATATTTCCAAGTCAGGCGAGGGGGAAATTGGAGATGGTGCAACAGGTCCTCCCTCTCTGGGAGAGGGGGAATGACCGTCCTCTCTCTCCTGTTGAGCGTGCGTGAAATCCCCAAGCTTTAGGGACACCAGTGTAATCCTCCTGACAGGACGGCACTTTAATAGGAGACAATCGCTCAGAAATACCGAGGCTCTGTCATTGAGTAACTGAGGACCATGTGGTGGTGGGGACAGGAGGGGCAGTGACACAAACGAGCAGGACATGTCAATCTTTTCTCTTGTTCTCCAGAAGTCTTTGTAATTGGGAATATGATGTCTGCATGGGCAGTGAAAACAGCTTCAATAATTTCAAAAGGGAACTGAATAAATCTTTGCAGAGGTCCGTTTGCAGTGCAGCTACCTGGATAGAGCTGTTACAGGAGGGATGTGTGACAGGATTCTCTGGGGCAGCGTTGTCTCTAAGTTGGGCAGTCACAGAGGGTGTGGGGAGCAGGGTTCCCAATACATCTCCCCTCTGTGATGGCGAAGGATGGTGTTCCTTGTGGCTGTTTAATGAGTGTTAGTTTTCACAGAGCGATGGGTGCACATGGAGTTACGCACCTCAGCAGTATTGTGGAGCAGCTGACCCCCATGCTGAGCAGCCCATACGAGGGCCAGAGAATCACTGCGGTCGCTTTCTTTGGCGAGGTGAGTGAGTGGGCATCAGGCAGCAGTGTGGCATCCTGCTTCCCCTCCCCTCTCTGTACCCCCGGCATTCGCCCATTATTATCCCTCCCGAGTCCCACTCCTCCGTCTCACCCCAGCTCCATCCCTGCCTTTTCTTCTCCCTGTCCCTTTTTGGTTGAAATGACACCATTCAGCCCTTTTGGTGTGTAAGGGTGGGTGTGGGGTGGCTCTGAGTGGGGTGACGATGGGAGGGATCCAGGCAGGAAGCGGATGCGGGGGTGGGGGTGTGGAGGGGAAATGGTCCCTGTTCTCAGCAGGTCAGTCGGATTTGGCTGTGTCGTTGGAAAACTCCCACTGCTGGCTCCTTGTGCCGGCATTTTCCTGGACTCTCATTCCTGACGCGATTCACATTTTCCATTCTGTTTGAAATAACTTGGCGAATGTTATCAACCCTTTTAACAAATGAGAACACGTGCTGACAGACACCCCGGCCTTGCTGAGGAGCAGGCAGCATGAAGTTGTACTGACTATACCCGGTGATGTAGTTAATGCACGCCGTGTGATTGACAATCATTACGCTTTATCCAAACCATTCAGTCCCAGCTATTAACTCTTTCCAGCTAAGACTGAACCCTGTATTTAAAAATTCCATCACGAGAGCAGACCTTGGTCTTACCTTGCCCAAAGTCCCACTCCTCGTTTTCCCCCTCGCACTTCTGACTCCGAGCTCTCTCCCAATCACTTCCCATCTCTTGCAGCTCCACAGCACTCCCCGGCTCTCCGCACGGGCCAATATTCTGGGGACACTGGTTTGAATCCCACCTTGGCAGGTGGTGAAGTTTTAAATCAATTAAAACCAGAATTAGACCAGAAGATAGAGGAGCAGAGGGTAGGCTATTCTGCCCATTGAATCTTCTCTGACCATGGTTGATCTGATCATCCTCAACTCCACTTTCCTGCCTGTTTTACCATATCCCTCTGTTCAATTCCTAATTAAAAATCTGCCTGAGGCTTGAATATACCCAGCCTCAGCAGCGCTGTGCCGTAAAGGATTCTACAGATTCACTCGCTCAGAAGAAATTCCTCCTCCTCTCTGCCTTAAATGAGCAACCCCTTATACTGAGGTGATGCCGTCTGATCCCAGACTCTCCCATGAGGGGAAATGACCTCTCCACATCTCCCTTGTTAAGCCCCCTCGCTGTGTTTCAATGAGGTCACCCCTCGGTTTTCTAAACTCCCAGTGAATACTCCACCTCTCCTCATAAGACCCTTACCTGATGTCAGCTTCCAATGCCAGTCTGTCTTTGCTTAGACCAGGGGACCGTAACTGTTCACAGTATTCCAGCTGTGGTCTGGCTAGAGTCCTGTATAGTTTTAGCAAAACATCCCTATTTTTATAAAAACCGAAAGAACTGCGGATGCTGTAAATCAGGAACAAAAGCAGAAAAGCTCAGCAAGTCTGGCAGCACCTGTGAAGGAGAAAACAGAGTTAACATTTCGAGTCCTCTGTTCTGAGGACACATCACTGGACCCAGAATGTTAACTGATTTTTTTTCTTCTCAGATGCTACCAGACCTGCTGAGCTTTTCCAGCAACTTCTATTTTTATCCCTATTTTTATACTCCATTCTCTTTGGTGTTTATTTCAATGTGCCATTAGCCTTCCCTATTCCCCACTGAGGTGGAATAGCCGCTTTTTGTGATCCATGGACGAGGATTCCCAAATTTTTTAATGCGATGGAGAACATGGGGGTCACTGTACACAGACCCTCTGTGCTGCTTGAGCAAGGTCTTTGTCCGTTGGCAGAGACTCAGGCAAACACCTGATAGGGCTCTGAATTCTCCCTGCCACC